TTCAATATTTCCTGGGATCTTGTTTAGTTATTGACCAATTGACTCATTAGTGACGTTTCCTATACTTGTAACTTTAGAAAATCCTATAATTATTTGTTAATATATTCTTTAATATTCCTTTTTTTTTTTTTTTTTGGGGTGTCTCATAGAAAGTAAGGGTTTGGGAATTACTTATGGGCTTTACAGCTTATAGCTTTTGTCCTACATTTCAATACCAGATTCTGAAGAATTTACTCGCAAAGAAGATTTTGTGGAAGAGCTTGGGAAGTTGCAACAGACGTGAACTGATGTCGGAATTGCTAACTCTTGTCGCATTTCTTTTACTTTACTTGTAATTTATAGATTTAGGGCAACATTATCTATAATTTACAAATTCTGATGTATTATTATTATTATTATTGGGTTATGTAACCCTAGACGAACCCTATATTTATTTGTTAATGTATCTTTGATGCCATTTATTTTGGGGGCATCACATCCTTCTCCAATAGGGATAGGCATCGACCTGTTGGCCTGCTCAACCTAACCCTATTTTTTTAGGGTTTCAGAAGGTTGGTTTGCCCATAGATTTGGGTTGGGCCAATATTTTTAGCCCGATATATTGATGGGTTGGGTTTGAGATTTATATTTTCAACTCGGTCTCGACCTGCTATTAATTAATTAATTAATTATAATATATTAAAAAATATGTATATTTGTTTGGATTTAGACTTTATCTTTGTTAATTTATTGAAATTCACATTTATGGTTATGATATATATTATTGTTGTTGATGATATAATTGTTTTTTATTTTTGACTTTTTATATGATTTCTTAAAATTATATAAGTTATGTTGGTATAATATTATATTTAAAAATATATCACTATTATTTTAAAAAAAAAATAAGTATGATAAAAATCATACAAATAAAATTAATATATAATTTTTTTTTCTTCATAAATGATATATAATAAAGGCCCCAGCATTACACACAAAATCTTTTAATTTATAATGATATCACTATAATGTGTGATTGAATTTAATTATGGAATATTTAAATTGTTTTGATTAATTATTAGCCAGTTCCATTAAATGAAATTAATTACTCATAAGTTCTGTTGACTTTTTAAATACACAAATAACTACTTAGTTGTCTATATTACCCTTATTAAATATTTTCTCTTCTCTTCTCTCTCTAATATTTTGCAGAGAACTCTCTCTCTCTCTCTCTCTCTCTCTCTCTCTCTCTCTCTTATCTCTACCATTTTTGAAGCTTTACACCACCACCGTCACCAAACCTACTGTCACCGTCCACCATCAACCGTTGCTACTCACCTTAACCAACGTCCTTCTCTATCGCCATCAAATAGTGCTCGTTTTAACCACCGTCTTCTTCTGTCGACGCCAACATCTGTTTTCACCCTCCTCTCTCACCGCTGCCGTAGCTTACCTCACACCATTGTTCTCTTCTCTTGTTGTTGTCATCGACATCACCATCGCTGCCACAATCCTACATCATCGATCTACTATCCTCGATATCGCTGCTTCCACAATCTTCCTTCATCACGGATCTATTGTCTTTGATGTCAAACTTCGTCGATGGTTTCAGATCTAGGTATTTTCAATGTCGATCTACTATCTTCGGTGCTAATTTGATACTGTACATGGTCACTGGTGAGATCAAGATTTTTTTCCAAATCTCATTCCTCATATCTCATCTCTCTCTCTCTCTCTCTTCATTTTTTCAAGCAGTTCTACTGCAAATTTATTTATCAGTGATAAATTTATCAATCCATCTTGTTCTGTATGTGAGTAAGATGAGGTATCTTTTGAGTAAGTGAGTGTGAGTGGTGAGTGAATTAGTCAGATTTGACATATGTAAATTTTTTTACAAATCACCTAGTGATAAATTTATCACTGAAATGTTCAGTGAAAATTATTACTGAGTACATCAGTGATAAATTTATCAGTTTATCTTGTTCTGTATGTGTATAAGAGGAGGTGTCTTGTGAGTAAGTGTGTATGAGTGAGTGAATGGATCATATTTGGCATATGTAATTTTTTATAAATCATCTAGTGATAAATTTATCAAGGAAATGTTCAGGGAAAATTATCACTAAATATATCAATGATAAATTTATCACTGAAGGTGTTTTTGATTATTTTGAAGATTGGTGTGAACTTTTTTTGATAAAGTTTTTATTTTTTCTCATAATCTCTCTCCATTATCTTAATCTTTCTTTCTCTTTCTTTCTTTGTGTGTGTATGTGTGTGTCGTTGCTACCAAATCTGAGTAGGTAGTGATGGAGATGAACATTGTTTTTGTTAGAAAAATGGTTTGGAAAAATGTCACTGGAAGTCGCTGGAGATTAGAGGTGGTTGCTAGTAGTTAGAGACAGTAATCGGAGGTTGAAGGTGGTCGCCGAGGTCAAAGGTTGTCGCCGATGATCGAAGGTAATTGCTCTCAGTGGGGGCTGATGACAGTAATGTTGTGGTTCAGTGTTGAATGAGATAAAGTGATGGTATTTTTGAGATATTGATAGTTGAAAAAACAAGCAGGACTTGACTTATCTCATGTTCATAATCTAACTTGAGAGAGTACTTGGACTTAGTGGGTCTATAGTGAGTCTAATCTTGATAATCCAAATCGTTCATTTTTTAGGCATTTTTTGGCAACACAAAAAAAAACCCCCTTTTTTCGAATTTTTTTTTTGTCTTTAGTGATTTTTTTTCAAAATTTTTTATTTTTCGATCTATCTTGTCAAGATGAATCTAAAAAGAATATATATTTTTTTTAAAAAAAATAAAAAAATGAAAAAGCCAAAATAAGCCCAAAAAAAAAAAAGAAAGATTGATTATTATTATTATTATTATTATTTTTTTTTTTAGATTTTTTAAAAAAAATTATAAATTTTTTGTTCATTTTTTTTTAGTTGAATCTAGAAACATAGTTTTTAATTTATTTTTTTTAAAAAAAAGTTCACTAAAGATGAAAATAAACACACACACACACACAAAAAAAAAAGCAAATCCCAAAATAAGCTTTAGGAGTTGTTTGAGATGATCTATATTTTTGAATTTTTTGCTAAAAAATAGGAAAAAAAAATATGACTATTTATGATAACTTTTTGACTTTTTATATAAAAAAATATGCATTATAATATTGTAATAAATATGCAAATTACCGTATTATCCCTATAACCCTTATGCCAGTGACTCACGTGATGGCTAGTTCGAATTGATTTGTCATTATGTGGTGGGCATTGGACACTTGTCAAGACATGTACATAAATTATTTTTTTTTAAATGTTTCCTGTTCAACAAAGGGGCATTTCGGCCTTTTTTTCCTCTGACCAGTGTTGTTGTTTTCAGTCCTTGGTTTTGGTGAATAATGTTAACTTTTTTATTTTTTTAATAATTTTTTAACTTTTTATCTTTTATATAGAATATCCCAAACGCTTACTTAGTACTCATAAAAAAGAATATTTATATAAAAAATTAAAATGATTGAATTTTAATAATTATATGTTTGAATTATATTCATCTTACAAAAATAGACGATAAATATAATTTCAAAAATAATCATTCATATTTTAAAGATAAATGTAATTCAAACATATAACTATCAAAATCTAATCATTTTAATTTTTTTATACGAAATTCTAAAAAATAAATAATTTAAACCACAAAAATTAAACTTACAATGAGTTCATTAAGGTGCCGTTTGGTAACACTTACGCTTTCAGTTTTCTATTTATATTTACAAAAACTTAAAAAATTCAAATAAAAACTCGTTTGGTAAATTTTTGATTTATAAATCAGTAGTTTCAGTTTATAAATTTGGCCAAAAAATATAAATTCAAAAAATGTGTTTCCGTTTTGAGTTTTCAATTTTTTTTTACCACCCAACACTAGCCACCACCCGCCACCATTTTCCACCACCGTTTTTCGCCACCACCACCCACCACCCCCCACCACTACCTGCCCATCTACCACCCCTCGTTACCAAAGTAATTCAAGCAACTCAAACAATTCAAACTTAACTCGGGTTAGTCTTAAGTAGACAATTAACCTCAGATTACAATTTGTGTTTCAATAAACTTGGACAATTCTGAAAACAATTCAAACTAAACTTAAACAAACTTTTAAGCTATGTTTGATTCATAAATTTGGGAAGAGATTTAAAAAAAGAAAAAAAGAAAAAGGTGTGTGAAATGCATTTCAACTACTTTTTTTTTTCTTTTTCTTTCCAAATCTCTCCTCAAATTTATGAATCAAACACAGTTTTAATATTTTCAAACCCACCTAAATTACACCCTACGTACATGAAGTGAAATTCTCTTCCACAAAACAATAGTTGTGTTTGGTGAAATTTTCTAAACATGATTCCACACCCATATTTAAGTATGGTATTTGGTTACAATTTTTAAAAATTAATTCCACACCACTTTTGAAAACTTGTTTCAGGGCCATCTGCCACCCACCCGCCACCACTCGCTACCACCCGCCACCACCACCACCACCCACTCGCTCCCACCACCCACTCGCCACCACCTACCCACCCACCTGCCGCCATTACCCACCACCCGCTACCACCACCACACCACCCACCGCCCACTCGCTACCACCCACCACCCGCTACCGTCACCCATCCACCCGCCACCACCACTACCCATCTGCCACCACCAGCTACCCACCGTCACCACTTTCTACCACCGTCTTCCGCCGCCACTTGCTATTTTTCACTCTTTTTATATTTTTAAAATTTTTAAAATATTTTATTAATTACCAAACGCGTTTTTAGTTTATGTTTTTCTAAAAATAAATAAAAATTAATTTATAAAATTTTTATAAATATAAATTAAGAACGTAAATGTTAACCACCGGACCGTAATGAATGAGACCTCCAAGATGAGAAAAGTGACACCCTTTTTATTATTTTTTATTTTTTATGTCAAATGTCTATCATAAGAGTTTCTCCAAAAAAAGTTGCAATCCCGTACGGACAGGAGCGCTAGATTCTCGGCCGCCAACCAAATGCCAAGTAGGCGTAGCACGCGGGCACAAAAGAAAGAAAACGAGTAAACCAATCACGAACCGGTCAACTTCCCAACAAAACCGGACCGGACCGGCACCGATAACCCAAACCAAAAATCTTCGTCCCTCACCTCCATCATCGTCCCCAACCCAACCTCACAAACAAACGAACACAGTAGAGAGAGAGAGGGGGAGCTGCCAAGACCACCTCCGAAGAATACCCCTCTCCGATCTCCGATCAAATCAACCCCAGAAACAAAACTCAAAAAACAAAAATCCAAATTGTTGTTCAAAACACAACAAAATCAAAAACTTGCTTTCTTTGTTTTAGTTAATCGTATCATATATGATTCACATACAGTCTATCTCTTCAGACTTTGATGCGACGATTGAATGCTCGCAAACTCGATCGTAACTCCAACATCGAGGAAACCAACAACAGCGAAAGCGAAAGCAAAAGCAAAATGGAGTCGATCAAACTTCAGTTCCGCCCAAATTCGCCTCACAGGTCCAGCCTCTTCTCTCGAAATCCTAAACACTCCACCACCAACATTACAAAATTCTTTGCTTCCATCGCAATTACCCTCGCTTTGTTCTGTTACATATTCGTTGTTTCCACCGCTTTTCGAAACTCAGGCAAGCGAAAATTCGGGATCGTAATCGATGGAGGAAGCACTGGGACTCGGATTCATGTGTTCGAGTATGTGGTTAAGGTTGGGGTTGCGAATTTCGATTTTGGGGAAAATGGGTTGGCGTCAATGCGGGTGAACCGTGGGTTGTCGGCGTACGCGGAGGATACGGAGGGGGCGGGGGTGTCGTTGGGCGAATTGGTTGAGTTTGGGAAGAAGAGAGTGCCGAAGGAGTATTGGGGAGAGACGGAGATTCGGCTCATGGCGACCGCGGGGTTGAGGATGCTGGAATTGAGTGTCCAAGATCGGATTTTGGAGTCGTGCCGGAAGTTTCTGAGGTTGTCTGGGTTCAGGTTTCGTGATGATTGGGCATCTGTTATCACTGGTATGGTTTACTTGTCAAATTGATTCGATTCAATTTGATTCATGTTGATCTTAGTGCTTATTGTGTGAAATTGGTCAATTTGATGCGATGACAACATTAAATGTTATTCGAAATGATGGCAACATTTAGTTCAAAGGTTACTAATTAGGGGTTACTAATTAGAGGTACCCTTATCAACATGCTTGTTTGGAAATATGTTAGCAAATCAAAATAATAGTCCTTTTGGAGGAATTTAACTGTTTTTTTTTTTTTTTTTGGTTAGTACAATTATTGTACTTTGAAAATATTAATTTTTCAAAATTGTTCTTTGATTGTACATTTTTTTGGGAATATAAATTGTCATAATTACACTTTTTATGTTGTTAATGAACTTAAAAGAAAGACAAAATAAGAAATTCTTACTATTTTTAAAAATAGACTAATATTTTGAGATAATGAAAAATGGAATAAAGGACTAATATTTTGAGATGGATGGATTATTAAAAATGGAATACTTGAAGGAGGTTGGGGTTAAAATCCAAAATGTGTTTACACTGTATAAAAAATATATTACTCTTCTTGCAAGGGAATTAAAGATGGACCTCATGCGATGAAACTTGAGCGATAAATTTTAATCTTGTTTCAGTCAGTTGTCTTAAGAAGCAAGGTCTTGAGTTCCTGAATTCATGCAAATGATTCAGATTACTTCTTGTGCTTCACACTTATTCATTTTGCAAGGTGCAAACCCTTACTTTGGGTGGTGTTTGATAAAATTGAAAATTGAAAATTGAAAATTGAATGTTGAATTTTTTAAGCTGAAAAGTTATTTGATAAAACTTTAAGTGTTGAACTAAAATAGGATGTTTATATGCACAAGATCAAATTTGAAATTTATTATTTTTAAATTATTTCTTCCAAGATCAATATTTAATGGTGGTGGTGGAGGTGGCAATGGTGGCTATGGCACCAATGGTGGTGGGGGTAGAGAGATAATGATTGTGGTGATGGTGGATTGGTAATGTAATGGAGGTAATAGTGGTTGGCGGCGATGGTGTAATGATGGTAGTGATTGTGGTAGTGGAATGATGGTGGCGGTTATGGTGGCAACAGTGGCAAAGGTTGTGAAGTTAAAAGAGTTTTAGCAGTTGTTGTAGGTGGTGATGGAGAAGTGGTTGTAATGGCAATAACAACTATGGTGGTGTTGTGGTGGTGGCAGTGAAATGACGGTGGTTCTTATGGCAACAAAGACAATAATGGAGGTTGTAGTAGTAGTGGTGGTGGCAGTGTCAATCGTAGGAGTAGTGGTGGTTGTGATGGCGGTGACAGCGGTAGGAGTAGTTTTGGTGGTGGTGGTAGCGGTAGTGGCGGCGATGAGGTTATAACGGTGTATGACACTTATGCATAATAATTGAGTAGGATTCCCTATCACTTCAAATTCTCTTTACTTTTAGTCTTAATTTTAAGCGGCATTTAAATATGTGATTATCAAATGGACTTAATTGATTTTCACTTAATACATTCAGTTTTAAGTGTTAAATTAGGTTATCAAATACCACCTTAGGCCTCGTTTGGGAACATACTAATTTAGTAACTTTTTGGCTATTTGGCTAAAATATGAGTTAAAAAAAACTAATATGTTTGGGATGATTTTTTGGTTTTTTACGAAAAGATGTGCAAAAAGTAGAGAGAAAAGAAAATCTTTGACTTTTTGATATGGGTTGTTGGCTTTTTGGCTTTTTTAACAACTTTTTGGCTTTTTGGCTAAACCGGTCGCTTCCCAAACGAGGCCTAAGTCTCTCTTAATTTAATGTCCTAAAGTGAATTGGGTCAAGTATATGACGTCCTTATGTTACCTTTGTTTTTTTTTTTTTTTGTTTTTTTGTTTTTTTTTGTTTTTTGGTTCTTTTATCTTCCTATCAGTGCATAATATTTATGTGTTTAGTTTGAGAAACCATTTTGAGTTTGTTTTCTTATAATCTTTTGTCAATGTACTGTTACACCAATAGATATCTGCAGTTGCTGTGTTTAGCATACAATAGTTTCCCATCGCCAGTTATGTCAGGAACTCGATTTAAGTGTCTTCCCATGTTGAAGGGTTTGCAGATTTTCTTTCCCATCCTCCATTGCAAAGTCTATGAAATCTTCTTTCATATTCTTTCTTTTTTTCAATGTATAAGAATGCAGTGTTGGAGGACATGGATGTTGTTTGATAGCATGCAGAAGTTCTTTTTCAATGTATAAGAATGCAGTTTGAAACCACTTGAAATATTTCCCACCATACTTCGGTTCATATGTTATGATATGATTTGATTCACAATCAGGAACCATAATACTGTGTCCTTCGATTTTTCCAGGCTCTGATGAAGGAGTGTACGCTTGGGTTGTTGCAAATTATGCCTTAGGCACTCTAGGAGGTGATCCTTTGAAAACAACTGGAATCATTGAACTTGGTGGGGCTTCTGCTCAGGTTTGGTTTCCATTTCCCTATTTTGAACTGGATTGTTTAGCTTGGACAATCAGTTATAATATTAAAACATTCCTGGAACGACCTGGATTTGATAAAATGTTGTTAGTCCAAACTTCTAAAAAACGATTCATGAGAGAACTTGTGGTAGATTTTCTAGCATTTTGAAAGTTGGGGAACCAGGAAATAGATTGTTGTTTCAATGGAAGGACATTATTTGAACACATTTGGCTGCCATTCAAAATCCTAGTTTATCTTTTGGCTTTTGCATATAATTTTATTTTGTATTTTCACTAGAAGGACCAATTAAAGAGCTATAGTTATGTTTGGGGGAAGCAACTATACAATATGTCATTCTGTATATTATAATATTATTTGTCCCATTTCATTGCTTTTGAAGTGAGTTGCTGTAATTCTGTATTTAACATTGGAAATCTGGAATTATGTGATTTTTTTTGTGGATGATTCATCTGTACCATTATTTCAGGTAACCTTTGTTTCAAGAGAGCCGATTCCCACTGAATTTTCTCGTATGGTTAAATTTGGGAACATTTCTTACAATCTCTACAGTCACAGTTTGCTTCAATTTGGTCAGGTAAAGTTTTCACTGAAGTAGTCATCTTCAGTGTCCACTACATCGTATTGACGTGTTTGGTTTGGATGCTACAAATATTTTGCTTGCAGTTTGTAGTACTTAATTGCTTTTGTTGTCTAAGGGGGCCACTGGTTAAGTGGTTAAAACTTGGCCTATCAACCTTGAAGTTGTGGTTTCAAACCTGAGGACAGCCACTTTGTGCAAATAATGCCAAAGTATACATTTGTGCGCAATTACCCCCTCCAAACCTCTATCCAATGTGGACTAGACAGTCTCTGCTTTTTAGTTAATTTAAGTTGTTCCAGGGTTTTTTTCTTTTTTGTTTTCCCATTTCTGTTTCTGTTTTTGTTTCTTTATTTTAAATTTTTTGAGCCAGTTCTTGTTTGAAATTGAATGAAACGTTCTGCTCTAAATTCACTTGCGGTTAATAGCTAATCTCAGCTACTAGTGAGAAGAGTTCTTTAAGGATCTCAATCTAATCTAATGTGGTGACATCTACTTGAACCTTAACGTTCTTGGCTTTGGCATTGATCCAATTATTATTACTATTATTTTTATTTTTTTGCGTGGATAAGCAATGGTGTAAAAGAGAAGCAATGGGGTACAAATCCATGTATGCATCCAAATATAATTGAATATAGCCAAAATTATTATTTAAAAGAAGGTTTGTGTGAAGAACAGAACTTATAGAAAGGCTTGAAGTTGATTAAATTTTTCGTAGGGCTTAATACTGGGGGGGCTTATTAATCCCCAATGTGAAGCTTATATCAGGATCTGCTTGTATCTAGAAGTTGCCTCTGGTATTTTTTTCTATTTTATGCATTCATGAAATAATCTTTTGTTGGAGCATATTGTTCTTGTTATTTCAACTATAGAAAAATTACTTAAACTATGTGAATACTCCTCTTTGCATAGGAACTCTGTTATTTAATTTCTGTGCAGTTTATGAATTCATCATTTGTATCATTTCGCAGAATGTTGCATTTGACCTATTACGGGAATCGCTTGTTACAAGAGCCCCAGAATCTGGTAAGTCAAAATGTTTTTCTTTATCTGATGGTTCTGTAATTTATTAAATCATATAAAAGCTTTAAGAACGTCTCTTATTGTGGGAAAACATTTGTCCAATAGACCTAAAATTTGGTTAGTAGATGTGCTCCGCACAATGTTGCTTTTGTCCGATTCATATGCTTGGGAAGGTTTTCCATTTTCTTGCTTGGAAATTAGTTCATTAAGCTAATTTATTAGAATAATACCTCAAATGGTTTTTACGTCATCTCCGAAGTTAAACTTGACATTTTGCTAGATACTTATGGTCTAATTTTCCTGTCATGTGTTGTGGGCTGTCATGTGTTGTGGGCTGTACTTCACTGTAGACACTGAATGAATGAAATGAGTGGTGATCTTCCTTCCCCCTTACTAATTACCAAGAACTTTGTTGCCTAGATTGGAATGAATTTTAACTAATAAAAGGGTCGCCATGTTTTTTAATTTAGTGTTTAATTAGATCTATGTATCTGCAATTGCTATAGATTGAGGTAGATTTAATGGGACTAGCCCTAACTGGGACAAGAAGAAGCAAGTTAAGGGAGAAATCATCTTGCCTTGTTTTGGTTTGCAGTATAGTGTGGAGACTTGCTTTAAATAGAATATTGTTTGTAGGCTATGGTTTGATTTGTTCTCTTTTTGTAGATTTTAGCTTATTGTTTTTGTCATTCTGGTCATTCTAGGTTTGCTGGTTAGCTAACCAGATTTTTTTTTTTTTTTTTTTCTCCCAGTAGGAGCTTTTACAGGTTGTGTCTAGTTTGGAATGAGTTTTGGGGGTTTTATAGGTTCGACTTTTTTGCTTTACTTACATTTCATGCTTAGTTGGCTTTCCCTATATAGTTACACGCTTATTTTTATTTTATTTTATTTTTTTGGGTAAAACCCTATATGTTGTTTTATGTCTTCGAGTCTATTATTGTAAAGTAGAAGTGTTTGATTGTCTGATTTGAAGTCATAGATTTATCACCAAGTGGTTGGTTCAGTGGGTTAAGTACTTAGATTTTCTTGCTCAATGCTTGGGTTCGAGTCTCCATAGTTGCTTGGTGGGGTTAAACATACTTTTCAGCGCCCATAGCACATGATGGGAGTTTTGCCCCCGACGCAGGTGCAGTGGAGTCTGTGGTGCCGAGGGCAATGATCCTTGAGGATATGTGAAGTAGCTTATCTGTATATCCATTTTTTTACCCAAAAAAAAAAAATAAAATAAAATTGGGTGAAGTTTTCCAAAACACTTTACCAAAAGAGGAGTGTTGGCACATAAATTTTAAACCAAATTTATGTTTAAATTTCAAATACAGTCAATGACACACATAGAGCCTACAATAAGATTGTTGTAGGCAATCACTTCCCAAAATGATTAACTTGCTCCGTTGAAGTGTATAAATAAAGTGTTGAAACACTTCATGTTTTAAAATTTGTGTCTACAAGGAGTGTCATGTAAGTCTGTTTCCTCATCATTCTAGTTGCGCAAGGATACTATGTCTTGTGGTTTGGGGCTTTCCTTTTCCTCTTCTCGTCAATCCTAGAATGAGACACGTAATTCTTCTGTTCTAGTAGGTGGTAACACCTTAGTCTAGCTTCCTTCTGTTTACCTTTCAGTCCATTCTTTACTGTGAATATTTCTTGATGTAATTCCACTTTAACCTGTATAATGTGATACAAGACAATGTTATTCCTCATCATTTGAAGGGGTTTCCCAGCATTAATGATCCAGTTTGATTTGATGAAGTATGCCCTATTTCTTCAAGTTGGTCTATTAGGACATTCTGACAAACGGCAAATTGGGATTTTAATTAGAAAATGATTCAAGGGTTTGTTTGGATTTTTTTTGGAAATTGAACAGCTCCATTTTTATTTTTTGTTGCTTTTGTAAGGAACAAGTTTGTGAAATATACAAAGGGGACCCTTGAAGAAAATGGGACCTGTTTGCACAGCTAGTGGTAGTAGAATTACTTCTAGGATTAAAATGCAATGTCATGTTTTCAATGGCCACATTCACAATTTAATAGTTGCAAAAAAAAGAAAAAAAACGGTGCAATTCAATGTGCAGGGTCATCGGAACAGGCCCTAGCATATTTCTTATATCCTGGTTTGAGTTGTGCAGTAGTTCAGGAATAATGTTTAGACAAAGTTTTGAGCAATGATTTGTTGCTATATTTAAGGCTACCCTGCCTTTGAACTTTTTGTGGCACTTTGACTCTGAGGATCTGGTTGTTAATACATATTCTGCTATTGAATTTCCTTGTAATATGTAAAGATGGCTTGCAATTGCATTCTCTTCATTTGCCTGCTATCCTCTTTTTTGACTGTTCTGAAGGTCTGCCATATTCTTCCGTGAATCTATAAATATTGTCTTAAATCCTGAATTTGGGATGGGCTATGGGCTATAATAGCCCATCCCAGGCTAAAATAGCCAATAAAACAAAACACTCCATCACATCACTCTCTTTACTTTTTTGCACATATGTTCTTAAAAAACCAAATAGTCAACTAAAATTGCCTATTCCCAAACAGGGCCAATATGTAATATAGGTTTAATATAGGTTTTACTTTAATTATTAAAAAAAAATGCTATTCCTAGAATGTGGGCCACTCTTGTATTAGAAACCAGACAGGTACTACTCCACATGTACTAAAATGTGATACGATAAGAGTAGGCAGGCTTACATATATCACACAATTAGAACTTACAATACTTCTAAACATGAGAGAAATTAACAATTAATTACATCTAATGCAATCTAGTATGTTGTTTTTTAAATTAATAATGTAAAACGCAAATCTATGAGCATTATGGCTCAACTTGTTTACATTTTGTTCTGCCAAAATTCAACTTTTAGATATTAGTTCATTATATTTGATCTTTTATTCTCCTAAGGATATAAATTGGAAAATAAAATTGAGATCACTTTCGATAGCAAAATTCACTATCTTGGAACAGAAGTGTACTATGTTTCGAAATGTGGGTTCCAAAACGTGAATCGTTAGGGGATTTACATTTTGTAGTGACCCTGATCTTGTCCAGGGGGCTGGAGCTGCTGGGCCATACTATAAAAGGACTGATGCTGCTGGGCAATACTATGTAAGGCAAAACAGACACCCTGTTAAAACATTTTGGTTTGTTTAATGTAGTTTTGTTCTTGCCTAGAGGGTGTTTGAGCAGATGCTAAGTAGATGTATTGTATATTAGCTTTAAGGATTATGCTAGCCACTTGACTTACCTTTTATTGCATTTATTAGGAAGTTGGTATGGTCAGTAGATGATTACGACGATAGTGTTGTTTTTATCTTTTATTAGTATATTTAAAATTACATATAATTGACTTGATTGGGTATCTGTTGACATTCTATTGATATCGCATTGTTTGTAGTTAATTGTGTGGTTAAATTGATTCTTCAAATGGACTTTTTTTCACTTCCAAATTTTGTTATATGAATCTTTCTTTCATCTGTGTGTTCATACGGGGCATATAATCACATGGCTTGAAGAATTAAATAAGATGTTTCTTGAGAAATTCTTTATTGTATTTCCATTAATGCAGCTACTGAATCTCTTCAGACAAAAAAATCAATAGATCCTTGTACTCCTAGTGGATATTCACATGATGCAAAGTCTTGGACTGTTTCGCATAGTTCCATGGCTGAAAAGAGTAAATACCTATCTGCTGTGCTACCCAAAGGTAACTTCTCAGAGTGCAGATCTGCTGCTTTAATGCTGTTGCAAAAAGGAAAAGGTAATTTGGATTCTATCAGAAACACCATATCATGTTTTGCATCAATCAGGGAGTTTCCCTTCATTGCCTGTTGAAAGTAACTGATGAAAATACTTTTCATGTGAGACGCAGAACAATGCTCCTACCAGCACTGCTATATAGGATCAACATTTATACCGAAGCTTCAGGGAAAGTTTTTAACCACAGAAAATTTTTTCTATACATCAAAGGTTTTATGTTCTGTCTTACCTAAGAAGTCACCAGTTTTATACTTCCTAAGATTGTTACTTCTTCGTACCACCATAAAGCATGTCATATATATATATGATGTGTATATTTTAACCTTTTGGTTTTTCCTTGCTTTGAGTAGTTCTTTGGGCTGGCCCCAAGGAAATTTATATCTGGTCTGATGACGGCTGGTCAACAATTCTGCGAAGAGGATTGGCCAAAGTTGAGGATGAAATATGACTCGCTTGAGGAGGATGATTTGCTGCGTTATTGCTTCTCTTCAGCATATATAGTGGCCTTACTCCATGACAGTCTTGGAATTGCTTTGGATGATGAGAGGTATTCTTTTCTTACTCTTTCCACTACCCTCTTGCATGAATATCCTCATTGATGTGTGCTTCTCTGTATTAAAAAAGCTAATAATAAGATTTAACACCCACTATCTCAGGCTAGGGTTTTGTGTGTTATGAGCTTTTTTTTTTTTCCTCTGTTTGTGTGATTGTGTATGTATTTGCATTGATTGGACTGACTTCCAAGCAGGATTGGGTTCGCTAATCAGGTGGGAGATATCCCACTCGATTGGGCATTGGGCGCATTCATCTTACAGAGTGCGGATAACTTGAACACAGAACATCCCAACTGGATTGCCACTGTAGTTAGCAATGATTCATCGACACTGATTGCTTTATTTGCTATCTTCATTGTATTGATCTTTAGTGCATGGTCTTTTACAAAGTGGAGGAAGCCCCAGGTGAAGACAATCTATGATCTAGAAAAAGGAAAGTATATAGTTACACGTGTCAGTAGATAGTCCTAGGAGCTTCTTTGAGAGGCACCCAATGGCCCATTTTCCTGGTTTTGCCATAGGAATGCACCAAATAAGCTTACTGCTTCTACTTAGAAGGTTGACCCCTCACAGTGAGACCCATGGTACCTAATGGGGTTGCAGGATAGAGGGTAGAGTAGAATGACTCTTTGGAGGCCATTGATGTAAAAAAGAAAGATTAAATTATGATTTATATTTAATGGGAATTATTGATGTAAGGGTGTTCACATTGTCAAAACTATAAACAGGGTTAGGATGTGTAGAGTGTGCAGTGCACATGCTGCAAAAGGATTAGAGAGAGGGAGGACTGTATGTTGTTTGTTTTGGATGTTTTAATTGTTACTCAACAGAGAAAAAAAGGGAAAAAGGTTTGTTTCTAGTCATCTGTTTTCTCCAGAAATGTTGTTGGGTCGATATTGATAAAGAAAGAGAGAAGGCACGGATTTTTGTTTGTTGTTATATCATTCATGTACTTTTTGTAACATGAAATTGAGTCCAATTTTGTCATACTTTGGTTATTCTATTGGGGTCAATTGTTTTGGAAAAAATTTCAATCGCCTATAAGATTTGTCAACAAAATTGTTCTACAAGAAACTAAAGTTACTGTGGTGATTTTTCTTTGATGTTCACCGTTCACCATCTAATCTAACATCTACCTTGATAAAATCAAGAGAGAGAAGACACAAAGGGGGGAGAGAGAGAGAGAGAGAGAGTGCAGATGCATGTGGTATTAGCATGGGTCACAAAATGAAAGCTCAAACGATATTGTTGACAAATTTTGGATGGTTGTAATTTTGAGGGAAAATTTAAATGTGATTATGGTCTCATGATTTCAGGTGTTTGACACGGATAGGAATAAGAAATGATTTCTTACTCACCCAAAAAAAGAAATGATTTCTTTTAAGGAGGAATTAAATTCTCACTTTTAAAACTTGCATTGTTAGAAAAAATGTTTTACGCTGTGTTTGGTTGAGAGATTTAGGAAGGGATTTGAAAAGGCAAAGGAAAAAGATATGTGAAACTAAGTAAAATATAGGTATATTTTATTCACATTTTACATATCTTTTTTCTTTTTCTTTTTAAATTCCTTCTTAAATTTCCTAACCAAAATTATGAATTTAGGTAGAGATTTGAAAATGAAAAGAGAATGTGAGAAAAATGTGAATGAAATATAAGTTTTTTTATTTTTTTTAATTTATTTTTATTTTATTTGCTCTTTTCAAATTTATTATCAAAACACATCGTTAAAAGAAAAAAATAATATTTGGGCCAATATGTCCAATTTTATTGTTTTTTTCATTGAGAATTCTTTACAAAACTAAACGATTGAGTAACATCAACTCAAAAATTTTATGACTAGTAATGAAATTCTATTCTCCTAACGAATCCTTTCGTTTAAACCTAACTTGAGAGTAATTAAATCAGACAATTGGATGCCATTGAACTATTATGGTATTGGCAAGGGTTGGGCATTAGTCAGCCTCAATTTTTTATTGTTTTACTATTTTTTATTGTGTGCGCGCAGAATGAAAATTTTTACTATATAAAACATTTTACAGATTTTATTTATTTTTATATAAAATGATGTGGGTATACTGGAACTGTTACTCGCATCATAATCATAAAAATATGTTTTTTTTTTTCCTATTCCCATTTTCTTAATTAGATTGGATAGAAAAACAAAAAATAAATATAAATAAATAAATATAAGATAAGAATTTGAATAAATTTTTTTTATTAACAATTTTAATAATGTTACTATGACTAAATTTGGATCTCAAATTTTAAATATCATATAATGTATTGTGTTAATCTAATACATTAGGTTCCGTTTGGCAAGAGCTTTTTGGACTATTTTACCTACAAAAAACAAAATAGGTAATTTTAGTTACAACAAACAAAATATCACATCCAATCCATAATCATTATATTATTCTTTCACAAAAAAAAGTCAAAAAGTCCAAAAATTCTTTCCAAACTAAGCCTTTTAATCCAGACTAAAATAGTCAAAAAATCAAAAAAATCAACTCACTTCTCAAACGGAGACGGAGGCTTAGTGTGAATCAAACAAGTAGAGATGCAGCCATAGCCCTCAAGAAACCGATCAAGGAAAAAGAAATGTGTGTGGATACAAGAGTGGTGCTTTTACATAAGTTGGACTCCATTACCACTCGACCTATAAGCAAATCTTAACCATTAAAAGAAGAATTGAAAATTTTAAATTCCATCTTGTTAGTCATCGTCTTCTTATTGAAACAAACTTTATAAGGCTTACAGAAGTGGCGTATTTAACAATTTCGTTCAACGAGTTCCTTTAGCAGAGCATTATTAATGTCGTTATATTATATTTTTAGTTCTACACAATCAAATAAAAGTAACATTCATATGATAGATTGTAAATTTCATGTATTTTCAATTACGTTGACAAAAGTAACCCAAACTAGACAAATTTTAGATAAAACAAAATTGGGATATTGACACTATTATTTCAACAAAAATAAGTAAATATTTGTACTTTACAATTCTCCGCGACGAATTTTCTTTTTTCTGAAATCGCTGCATAATAGACTCATAAGTTACGCTGTCAAATAGATCTTTTTGAATATATGACCATGTGAACCTGTTCTACGCTCATCTCCTTTTGGTATGATCAATACTTTTGACAGTACTAATTTCCTTCCAAAGATCGTTCCAAAGGCTAAACTACAGATTTTTATTTAAATCTTTCTCACAGAAAATTAGATTCAGCAAAATGCAGAGATCGTTCCAAAGGTCAAAGCATCATGTTAGACAATCTTCACTCTATTTAACTAAATAAATTTTGTTTGTGTACTAAATTACAAACAGAATATAAAAGAAAAATAGAAAATGAGAGAGACTGTTTGATTACAAAAACCAAACCAATAAATAAAAATAAATAAATAAAAGAAGATTTTTATTTTGTTAGAAAAACAAAATTAAAATCTGATTTAAATGAATAATAGTAAAACAGAAAAATAAATTAACAACTTACCTGATTAATTTCTTGAACAAACTTTTGATCAAGTCCAGTGTTTAACACTGTGTCCTTAAGACAGATTCGTCATCTCCACGGTGCTTTCAGATTTGCGGACGTCTATCTCCCAGGATAAAATGATCAACAACGAATAAATGCAGCACTACAATTTATTCGCACAACGAACATACTAAGTGTTTTACACTATTTCTCACAGAAAATTAAATGCAGTAAAATGCAGAGAGTAGTAGTAGATTTAAGGACGAAAAATTGGAGTGAATATCCAAATAAGGGATGCCTTTATATAGATGGAGTGGTGGCTGTTAATTTTGAATTAAATAGGTTCAAACCTGTTTGAACATGTATGGTTTGAATTAAATAGGCAAGGCACTGTTTCAACAAATAAACTGTTTGGGTTTGAAATTTAAACATATTTAAAATCTATCCGGGTGGAACAAATTTGAATCTGTCCGGGTGGGGAAAATAAAATGGAGCCCATTTTGAAATTAATTTTCAAAATTCAAATTCCAAAAAATTAGAATTTAATTTTAGAAAATAAAATTCAAATATTTTTGGCCTAAAAAGATAGGTATTGGGCCGGACAAGCCCAACCCAACCACACACCAAAGCCCAGCCCGCCCGACCGGCGATGGCGGCGCGCGTGTGTTTATTTTGGGTTCAATGGGTCTAACCCACTTTGCCCATAAATTCCCTCTCTACAAAACTTGGGTGCCCCTTGGGGCCTACCCCAAGTTCTAATCCCATGCCTTATAAACCCACTCAAAGTTTCCAACCAAATCAATGTGGGACAAGCCATTTTTCAAACCTTAAGAAATTTTCACTAAAAATTTCATGTCCATGGAGCTCACTTTGGCTTCAATTTTCTATTCACTCAATAATGGTTTTGAATAACCAAATATACTACGTGAATCACAACGCGACATAGAACGCGTTACCACTTAGACCCGTCAACTTTGGTGCATGGGTCCCACCTAAAAATTAGACCAAAGTTGAGAAAAAATTATGTTTTCCAGATTTTTCCAAAACCATTTCTAACAATCCTCCACATGAATGGAATTTGATGACAACAGAAATGCAACAATATGCAGAATTTGTCAAAAGAGTATAAATTGAAAATATCTTGCATCAGGATAGGTAGCTTTCGGCCTTGACCCTTCCCTAGTGATAACCTATTGGACTTACTAGCTAACCAATGGATGCGATGCCATGAATTGTTCAGCCGTTTGTGTAAGCCAAGACAATAGATTTCATACAAAATATCTTCTAACACATCGTGGTTCTCACTGTTGTGTTCATTTTGGCCTTGAACACTCTTGGTTTTCATGAGTGCTTCTAGAGAATTTAGCCTATTCATTCTCCTAGAATCGACCCCAGTTCGACACTCATATAAGTGATTCTTATTGTGAGTATCTCCTTATACTTTTCTTGATTTTTATGCCTAAATCAAGATATGAGTAATCATTAAAAGCAAAGCTTATTCTTAGACCTCTGCATACAACACATGTTGCAGATATCACTCTCCCATAGGAATAGATAGGGAATTTTAATCCCTTGGTGATTTTTGGCGAGCCATACATAACTTAGTTGTCCCTTTGAACTTAGTTCTTAGGATCTCTAGTCATACAAGTAGGGTTACCATTATGATGACTCTTATGTAATTTAATCCCATCTCCTTCGATGAACTATACACTTACTCTTTTGTCAAACCTTTTGTTAACAGATCCACAATATTCTCTTTAGATTTTATATAATCTATTGAGATTGTTCTATTTGAGAGCAATTGCCTTACGGTATTATGTTGACGACGAATGTGTCGTGACTTAGCATTATACATATGATTATGTGCCCTGTCTGTTACAGATTGACTATCACAATGAATGCAAATAGTTGGCACAGATTTTGGCCACATTGGAATGTCTTCTAAGAAGTGACGAAGCCATTCTGCTTCTTCTCCTGCTTTGTCTCAAGCAATGAACTCAAATTTCATTGTGGATCGTGCAATGCATGTTTGTTTTGTGGATTTTCAAGAAACAATAGCGTCTTCCCGAATAAAGACATATCCACTAGTGGATTTTGAATCTTTATTATCCAATATCTAATTGGCATCACAATAACCTTCGAGTACTGCTGGATATCGAGCAAAGTTCAAACCATAATCACGGGTAAATCTTAGATATCTAAGAACCTGAATGATCGCCTTCCAATGGTCTTCTCCGGGGTTACTAGTGTACCTACTCAATTTACTAACAACATAAGCTATATCAGGACGAGTACAATTCATTAGGTACATTAGGCTTCCAATGATTTGAGAGTATTTTAACTGAGACACCTCATCACCTTTATTTTTCGATAAATAAAGACTGATGTCTACAGTTGTTTTAGCTAAATTCATATCATCCTTGATAAATTTACCAAGAATTTTCTTAACATAATGTGATTGAGATAATGCATATCGGTCAAATGATTTAGTAATTTTCATTCCTAATATT